ATCGAATAGGAGATGATTGGATGAATGAGTGTTTAGTTCCTAATATAGAAAGTGATGTGTTTGATAGCATTGCCGATGAGTTAATTATTCAACACTTTCAATATAAAATTCCTTTTCTGGAATTTTATCATGAAAGATAGACGAATTATCAATCTGGTGTTGGAATAAATTCGATAATACTTTAATCTTCATATTGGAATTATCTAGAGAAATAACTTGAGCGGAAGCGTACATGACTCCATTGGAGATGACCTTTAGAGATCCGGGAGACGGGGGCTAGAGTTTGCGTCTTCTAGTTGATACACACCCTCAGGAATTATCTCTCTAGCGATGGGATGCAGAAAGACTGAATGGCGTGTTCAACTAGAGACCATAACCCCTTATTTATAGAGAGTGCTTAACCCTAATCAGCCCATCATTGATTAGGTCAAGCCCATGGATCTCTACACATTTGGGCCCTATACCTTATTAGATAACTTATTAGCACACTTAAATTAATATCCATAGGACCACTAATTTTTGGGCCCAAATATAAGATATCATATAACATACAATTAAACCCGATAAATAATATACTGTGAATATTACATGTAGTATAAGTCCAATAATCTAACAATCTCCCACATGGACGATATACACATGTATACACAATCCTTAGAATTGTATGTTTACTTTAGGAGCTCCAAAATTTTGCTATCAAACTGTAGTCATCTTTAATCAATCCGGTCCATTAATTATATCAACATAGGACCAAAGAAGTCTTTGCTATATTTGAATAACTAGACCCATCAATGATCACATATATTAATATAATAAACGACATGAATCAAGTATAGGTGTGTAGCGTGGAAATAACATAAAGTGTGATCTGGAATAGAATGTCTATTTCCAACTGGTACACCTTGAGATCAATAATATAACTGTAAGAGTCAGGGCCGTCTTGACACCGTAAGAGACCCGATGCAAATCACAAAAATGAGGCCTTTTATTCAATAAAATGCATAGATATATGGTACATATGAATTGTTCAAATCCAGACTTGCTTAAAACATACCAAAAGCATCCAACACATTGAGTACAATAAAGCATCCGAATAAAGTAAACGGTTAAAATTTAAGCACATCATTTAATTAAAAAGAGCCATTCTCCTAGCATTCTTCGAAGCAAATTCATCAATTAGCTCTTGATAGTCCACTTTCTCCAAGACTTCTTTCTCTACGGTTATCAACGCTAAACCATTAAGTCGTTGTTGTGACATTGTTGAACGCAAGTAGGACTTCAAAATCTTCAACTTCGAAAAGCTTCTTTCTGCAGAAGCAACAGTCACAGGAATAGTCAACAAAATTCTATAAGCAATAATTGTATTTGGAAAACAGTCTAAGCCTTTTAAAAACTTCAAAATTTCAATAGGACCCATTTTTTTTCAGGCAAAAGTTGTCTAAGTAACTTTAACTCAACACATAATTCATTTCTATCAATATCAGACTTTTCATTGTGTTTAAGTGCATTTTCAAACTGAATACAGCAAGCCTTTAAACCTGCATCATCTAAAGCCTTTAATTTGTGAGAAGTAAATAAGAAATCAAAGACATTTTCATATTCTTGATATTGATCAAATCTGCTCTTTAGAGAAGTTATGGCTCTATCAACAATGTACAGAAAATAATTCACTTTAAATGATTCCTCCATTGACAGTTTAGCCTCAGGTGATGTATTTATATTCTCATCAAAATGTTTTTTCCTTCGAATTTCACGCCTTTGAGGAAATACGGGATCAATATTAATTTCAATAGCAATTTCCTTAGCACTATTTAAGGCATCATTAAAACCAGTTTCCCTATATTTCTCGAAAAAGGAAATCAACCCCTTTATTTTTTCAATAGCAACATCAATAAGCATATCCCTTGATTGTAAAAACTTGCTAACCAAATTAATAGCACATAACACTTCAAACCAAATAACTATGGCAACTAAAAACTCAAAATCAGCAAGCTCGTTAATTGCTAAAGATTTAGCTTCACTTCTTATTTTAGGATCATTATCAACATCTGCTACTTGTAGTAAAGCTTCTCGAAATTCTGATATTTGAGATCTTATAGCTTTAACACTATCAACCCGACTCTCCCAACGAGTGGCTGACAATGGCTTTGGAGTCAACCCTTTTATATTATTTTTCAAAATTTCCCACCTCTTTGTTGAATTTGCAAAAACTGTATAAATACGTTGTATGATTCCAAAAAAATCTTTAGCTTTAGTACATGTATTGGCCATATCACACAATGCCAAATTAAGGCTATGGCAGCCACAAGAAGTATAAAAAGCTTTAGGGTTAATGTCTAACATTCTCTTTTGCACTCCTTGATGTTTTCCTTTCATATTTGATCCATTATCATAACCTTGTCCTCGCACATCAAATATACTAAGATCAAGATTTTCCAACTCAGTTTGTAAAGTATTAAAAAGCCCTTGACCAGTTGTATCATTCACATTCAAAAATCCTACGAAAGATTCTTCAATGATTACAAAATTAGTAGAAATATCGACATATCTCAATATCAAAGTCATTTGTTCTTGGTGACTAACATCAGGAGTACAATCAAGAATAACAGAAAAGTATTTTGCTTGTTTTATTTTTTAATGATTTCTGTTTTTATTGCAGAACCAAGCAAAAATATTAGTTCATTTTGAATAGTGTGCCCAAGATAATGACTATGAATATCATTATTTGTAATACGCCTAACATGTTCTTTCACAATTGGGTCAAATTCTGCCAAAAGTTCAATTAAACCTAAAAAATTGCCATTGTTATTGTCATATAACTTTTCATTAGTACCACGAAAAGCTAAATTATGTTTGCCAAGAAATTTCACAACTGCAATAATTCTTAGTAAAAAATTTTTCCAATGCTCTGTCTCTTTCTCAATTTGTGCTTGAGCCATTTTATCAATAGTTTGATTCTTTGCAAATCTTAAGCGCACATCATACCAAGTTGCCATATTTTTTAAGTTCTTTCGAATAACCAAGCCAATCTCTATCGCACTTCTCCCCGTTTGATAAAACTCTAGTATACAAATTTGCAGTAAACCGTCTAGAAAATTTATCTTTAGGTCCCTTGACAATAGAACAATCTCTTTTTGGACCCTCTATAACTAATAAATCAACCATTTTAGAGCTAAGACCATCCCAAGTTCTTGGATCAAATATATCTACCATATGACATGTTTCTGGAGAATTAACTGGTCCTTCATTTTCATTAATATCAACACCTATATCATGAATTTCATTTTCTAGGGAGTTCACATTTTCATTCTCTAGATGATTATTATTATCACTCTCTACTAGCACATCATTACAATTTGCAGATCCTGCATTTTCATTATCATTCACAAATATCACATCATCACAGTCAAGCACATTAAAACTTTGATTTTCAACAGAAACTTGAGGGTCTCTTTTGATAAATTTATCAAGAGCTCCTGCTTGAAATTTTATTAATGCTTCAGCTTTTCTTTTTTTCAGCAGCTTTTTATGACCAGATTCATACTTTTTCATTCCAGGAGCCATAATATCAAGATTCAAGAAATCAAAATAACCTCAATTAGAGTTAAAAAAAGAGGGAAACAACCTGATGTTTGGAACTTTATTTGGAAGACTCAGACAAATGAATCAGTAGATCCAATACGGCAATACAGATGTAGCAAACTAGCGATGCACTGCCTAATTCCCTACCTTGCTGTTTGCCTGTTTAGTTCATAAAATCAGAAAGAAACGAAGTAAAATGATAAAATCGCAACTTCATAACCTAAGAGGCTGAGAAATTAGATAAAAAAGAGTGAATAATTTTACCTTGCCAGATAATTCAACTAGTTGAATCGTTCGGCCAAGTCAAGCAATAAACTTTTTGATTTTTTGATAAGAATTGCAGAGAGCTTCAAACCCTAAATGGTTAGGCAGTTAGCGTATGAGAAGGCAGAGAAGTCGACTTGTGTTTGCCGACTTGTGTAAAGCCAGCAATTGTGTTTGCCGTTTGGAAAGTGGGTGAGATGGTTGTTTAGCATTTTTGTTTTGATTTAATTTAAATTGGAGGCTTAAGCATAGATGTAGGGTTTTGAGTTGGGCCTTTCTTTATTTAACCGTGTTTCAACACTTCAAATGGGCCTTTCGTAGTTTGTTTTTAAAAATTTTATTTATAAATTAAACAATTACTTTATATATATATATATATACTACATATATTTTAAGAAAAATGGGCCTTCGATTTTTTGAGGCCCTGTGCAAAGGCCCTGTTTGCACAGTCTCATCTACGGCCCTGGTAAGAGTACATAAAACTTTAAACTTTATTTCTGCAGAAAATAACCTTAAAAAACTTGAATTGAGTCAATTAACCAAATATAGAAACATTACAAACTTCCACTAAAACTCATAATCCTTAACTGATTTGACACCCATTTGAGCAACATGCTCATGAAACACTTTGGGTGGCATTCCTTTAGTGAGCGGATCCGCAATCATGGATTTTGTGCTAATGTGCTCTATAGATAACATTCCTTCTTGTACTCGTTCCTTAACGACCTTAAATTTGACCCCAATGTGTTTTGCCTTGGTCAAACTACTGTTGTTCTTACCATAGAGGACTGCTGATCTATTGTCACTCAATAGCTTAAGTGGTCTTTCAATGCTGCCCACTATGCGTAGTCCACTAACAAAATCTCGCAGCCATAATGCCTGATTGGATGCCTCATAACATGCTATAAACTCTGCTTCCATGGTGGAAGTAGCTGTAAGAGTCTGCTTGATACTCCTCCAGGAGATGGCTCCTCCAGCTAGAATAGAGATGTAGCCTGAAGTGGATCTCAAGCTATCTTGAAATCCAGCAAAATCAGAGTCGGTATACCCAATGATTTCAAGCTGATCCGATCTCCGATATGTGAGCATATATTCCTTTGTTCTCTGTAAATACCGCATGACCCTTTTGGCTGCTTTCCAATGGTCCATTCCCGGATTGCTCAAATATCTGCCTAACATCCCAACAATGTATGCCAAATCAGGTCTTGTACAAACCTGGGCATACATCAAACTTCCTACAGCCGAAGCATAAGGAATGTTCCTCATTTCTATAGATTCAAACCATTCTTAGGGCACTGCATGGTCCACAAATGTCTGTATATATGAATTCTAATAGATCTGAAGCTCTCTCGACACCTAATCTCCGTTTGTTCATTTGTTTTCCCTTAACGCACTCAACACAAATATCAGAATTTGAGGAGTCAAGAGAATCAAGAATTCCATCTAACACAAGTCTCTGAATTCTTTCTTTAGATATATGTCCTAAACGTTTGTGTCATAGTGCAATGAATTCTCATTGGTTAATTTTCTTTTAGTACCACGAGTACTTGCATGCAAAGTTTCATTATATGAGGTATTTATATCAAGTGAATATAGATTATCATAAACTGATAAAAGACCAGTACCAATAAGTTTTGAATCTTGAAATAGACTGAACTGACTATTTCCAAATGAACAAGAATAACCAAATTTGTCCAATGCAGAAATAATTATTAAATTCCGCCTAAATGACGGCACAACAAATGTCTCTTTCAAATCCAAATAAAAACTAGTCTTTAATAATAATCTAAAAAACACCGATAGCCTCAACTTCAACCCGCTTGCCATCACCGACATAGATGTATCTTTCACCATCAATTGGTTTTCGGCAGCTCAGGCAACCCTGCATAGATACACTTATGTGAGTAGTAGCACCGGAATCTACCCACCAAGTGTCTTTTGGTACCGAAATCAAATTAACCTCAAAACAAAAAAGAGCAAGAGACATACCCTTTTTCGCACGTCAGGCGTGGTACTTAGTGCAGTTCTTTTTCTTGTGATTAGTCCCTTTGAAAAAGAAGCATCCAGATTCCTTAGTTTCTTCCTTAGTTTCCTTATGATGCTTCCTGGGGGGCCCTGAATTTGCAGCTTCCTTAATTTTCATTTTCTTGCTGCCCTTAGAGGTAAATGCCAAATGAGCACTTTCTGTCTTATCTTGCTTTATTCTCTCTTCCTCTTGAACACAATGAGAAATGAGCTCATTGAGAGACCATTTCTCCTTAATGCAGTTGTAACTGACTTTAAATTGATTAAATTGAGAAGGAAGAGAGATAAAAACTAAATACACAAGCAATTCCTCAGGTAAAATAAGCTTTAGTGCACTTAGTTTTGAAGCAATATGAGACATTTCCAAAATGTACTCCCTTATGTTCCCTTTGCCTTTGTACTTCATGGAAACAAGAGTGCTCAAAAGAGTACTAGTTTCTGTCTTTTCGTTCTTGGCAAAACGCTTTTTCAAGTTCGGCAAGGAACGATTTGGCATCAGCCTCATCAGACATTGTGCCCCTGAATGATTCTGGAATTGCACGTTTCATGATCATTAGACTCATGCGGTTTGAGCGTTCTCACCTCTCCATCTCCCTCTTTTCATCAAGGGTAGATGTGTCCTTAAGAGCGGCGGGTTTCTCAGTCCGAAGTGCAAGGTCTAGATCCATGCAACTGAGAACAATCATAACGTTCTCTTTCCATTCCTTAAAATTCGTGCCGTTAAGCACTGGGATGCTATTAATATTAGCAGATATTGTAGCAGCAGAATTGTTGACTGAAAGAGAACAAAAAAATAATATAAATGATATGCTCTAGGAACTGAAATTAATTTGATAATTAATTTTAAATTTAAATATTAGCAATCCTCATCACAAGATACCTAGCGCAACATCTAATCTTGTCTTTGGACATAAATTAGACTTGCAAGTGGTACTCTTGGTGTGATAATAAAATTTTGATAATAAAATCATGTCAAATATTAAGCCTTTCTTTGGACCGACTTAATATTCACCCGAAAAACTTCATAATCATCACAAATTTTATTATCACAAATGTACTTAAATTTCGGCCAAATAATAACCTTCCTTTGGGTCGATTATTATCCGCATAAAATAAGAAAGTACACAATCATCTTAATATATGAGTTAATTAATTTCAACAAGAGAGGCTACTTTGGCAGCATGTTGTGTCAATTAATCAACCCAAATATTAGACATGCTAATATTAAATCAACAATCTGAAAATAAAATTGGGCGAATTTTTCTGAATCACATGCAAATGTGTTATGTATAACTAAATTTGTAATACTTGTACCCAATCTTTATGTGATCACAAAATAGGGTTTATACATCCATAACACAACACATTTTTAAACTGTAAATCATGATCACCAACAAAAGTAATTTATTTCCAAATATGCAATTCTAATGGAACTGACATTGGTTGTGATCACATATAAGTATTTAATTACCAAAACCAATAAAATTCCAAAAACTGAATTACTGAAAAAAGAAACATATCAAAATTCAATTTGATACAAGTATACTCGGCTAATGGCCTCATCGTTTTGATACAAATTTGATTCCAAATCAACAACAAATACGTAAGCTAAAGGCCTAATTCCTTAAAGAAAGGAACTGCAATTATGATTCGTTATGAATCAATTCAGCCACATCCATAAATTAATAGTATTCCGTATGAGTGATTTTGGTATTACTACCAACCCAAATCCACACAAATGATTCTTATAATTATAGATAATGAAATCATAAAATAAACCTTCAATCACGTGTGTTGGACACTTCAATCCCAAGATTGATTGAACAAAATAAACAAAAAAAAAACAGAAAACCAAAGTGACCTAACTGGGCAGCATTGCACTTTGAAGGAAAAAAAAACTCAGCAGAATATGGATATGATCATCGAAGTGCTTGACTCATCACATAAATTTATCCTACTCACATCTTAATAACATATGCGATTAAAATAAGCAGAGGTGCCGTAAAAGAAAACGAACACATCAAATCGGAGCAATCCATCATAATATTAATCATTCAATGAAAATCCAATCGCGAATCACGATTGAAAATAAACACATCCCAGATTTAACTAATCAACATATCATTTATCAAATTTTCAATCTGACTCCAACTCCAATCGCCGATCCAGAGAAAAACAAGAAACATTCGATCAAAACATAAGGATTCGATCTTCAGCTTACTCTAAATAATTCAATATGAAGAAGGCTCTGATACCAATTGTTGGAATAAATTCGATAATACTTTAATCTTCATATTGGAATTATCTAGAGAAATAACTTGAGCGGAAGCGTACCTGACTCCATTGGAGATGACCTTTAGAGATCCGGGAGATGGAGGCTAGGGCTTGCGTCTTCTAGTTGATACACACCCTCGGAAATTATCTCTCTAGCGATGGGATGCAGAAAGACTGAATGCCGTGTTCAACTAGGGACCATAACCCCTTATTTATAGAGAGTGCTTAACCCTAATCAGCCCATCATTGATTAGGTCAAGCCCATGGGTCTCTACACATTTGGGCCCTATACCTTATTAGATAACTTATTATCCCACTTAAATTAATATCCATATGACCACTAATTTTTGGGCCCAAATATAAGATATCATATAACATACAATTACACCCGATAAATAATATACTGTGAATATTACATGTAGTATAAGTCCAATAATCTAACATCTAGAACCTGAAAGATGAAATGTATCAATATAGGACTCAAAAGATGAAAAACTATCAATCTAGGACCTAAAACTTTATAGGTTTTGATTTATTTAATTTTTTATTAATTCCATTGCTAAATATTTGGTGAAATTTTCTTCACAAAAGTTTATTAGTTTAATAAAACTAAATATTATTAAATTTTTTTAAAATAAAAATAATAACAAAATTTATGAAAACTTAGGTCCTGAATTGATAATTTTGAATCATTTAAGTCCTATATTGATACTTTTTCATCATTCGGGTCTTATACCGATACATTTTCTTTTAGTATATATATTTATTTTTATTTAGCCTTTTTTTAGATGTAACATATATTATTAGTGTTATATATGTGCATACACTGGGTCCCGATGCCTAGGTCTGCCACTGCTTGGCCTACAAGCTTAAGGGCTAGATAACCATGTGGGATCTTCGGCCATAGTCCACACATGACGTGCGGATCCTCACCCTTATATCAAACAAAATATGAAATCTTATATTTCAAAGAATACTAAAAAATTAATGGTTTTTTTTACATTGCAACACATATATTAACACTTTTTTGAAACAATCTTAAATATATAGTAAAGTTTTGAAATAATATTTTATACTAACAATATTAAATTTTGATAAAAAAAATAATAAAAGAGAGAATTAGATACAAGTAGATTTTTATATTTTTCAATTTCAAATTTATAATTTCGTTTTGGTGTTTATTGAAATTTATTTTTCTATTGAAAGTCAATAAAGGTAACTTTTCTCCTTTATAGGAACATGAGGGGTATTTTTGCACCTTTTCATAATTCAGGGGTACATATGTACTTCCACATAAAGTTGTATATTTGTTCCAAAAAATAGAACAAAGATATATTAGTTATCATTTCCTTAAAATTAAAACTATTGATAAATTAAAACTACACTAATATTTTATACTTTTTAAAACTACACTAATATTTTAGCCGAAGAGGAAAATGTAGGATATAATAGAAAAGGGTTATACCCAATATATATATATATATATATATATATATATATATATATATATATATATATATATATATATATATATGTATATATATATTTGTATATATATATATATGTATGTATGTATATGTATATATATATATGTATGTATGTATATGTATATATATATATATACATATATATGTATGTATATACATATATATATACATATACATATACATATACATATATATACATATAGATATATATACATATATATATACATATATATATATATATACATATATATGTACATATATATATATATACATATATATGTATATATATACATATATATATATATATATATATACATATATATATATATATATATATATATATATGAGGAACTTTTTAAGAGCATACAAAGCGCCACATAATCCTGCCATGTCATTATATATAACAATTATTTACTTATTTTTATACCTTTTGTTTTTATTGGATTCTATTTTTGATTGCATATTGATATGGAAATAAAAATCCTTATAAATCCACCATAATTAATTTGGTAAGCTTCAAATAAGTAAAATAATTTTTGGTTATCAAAGTGAAATTCTAATAACGTTTATTGATATGGAAAATAATTTATATTAGTTTACTACACCGAATTAAATAGAAACAAATATGCAAATTAGTTTACTTATTAATTTGACACCTATTAATAAATTAGTAAGCTTCAAATAAGTAAATAATTAAAAATGAAATTAAAAATTATAACCAACATAAAGTATATATATTTTCACAAGTAAATATGTTTAGCTTAGCCAAATAAGTAAATTTTTTAGGTTGTTTCTTTATTTTACACCTAAAATTCAAATATGCCTTCACTTTTGAAATAGATTCCTAATCCAAATTAGAAAATCTTTATAGGTTTACGAATTCCTACTTTTATTTTAATAGAATGTTTTTAATTGGATTGATTTCAGTTCCATATTAAATCAGATCAGATTTGATCAAACTTTAATAATTATAACAATAAGTCACATAAAAAACAGACATCTAATAGACCATATTAATTCATACCAAATCAAACCCGGAATTTTAATTCAATTAAAAATGTTCTTATTAATGAGTAAACTGTAAGATCCAACAATTAAAAAATATAGAATTTTTTTATTATTGGGTTCATAACAATTATGTTTACTTGAGATGCTTATGTAGAAGACCAATTTAACTTTTTTTTTTCATAATTTTTTTCTTTGTTTCACAAATGGAAAATATTTCACATATATTTTTCATGATTCAGAAGATTTCACCTATTTAACCAGAATTCAATCAATTTCAGCAAAATAAATTAATTCTATTTACTTTAGTATTATCAAACACTCTATATTAGACTAAGTTTATTTTTCTTTTAAATCACATTATATGTGATCTGATAGAAATTAAATTTCAAATTAGTTAAATTATATATTGTCTGTGCATCGCACGGGCTTGAAAGCTAGTTGAAGAATAAAACAAAATTCCAATGATAATTGACAAATAAAAAGTAAAATTTCAACTCAATTTAGGATAATGGATAAGAGGTTGCATTGGGCATTTGGGCCAACAGCATAGTAATGAACGATGATGCATTGGGCGGACCTCAAGAACAAGATCCAGCCTCAAGATGGGGACAATGGTGAGAAGGACGCATTGAGATTTGAGACAAGTCAGACAACAACATAGTAATCGAGCCCGACAAGGAAATCCAAGGCAGAAGGGCCGTTATTACTATTTATACTATGTACTTCGCATTTTAATGGGAAAATTCTCAAAATAAGAGTAAAAAAGTTTGAAAATTTCAAAATAGGACTGCCATGTTTTTATTTCTAAAATAGAACTAATTATTGCCAAATTTGGAAAATATTGTTATGTTTAAAGTCTGGTATTGCCAAAACATGACATTACTTAGTCCTATTTTGGGAATAAAAACATTATAATCCTATTTTTGAATATACAAACGTTTTTAGTCATATTTTGGGTAATTTCTCTATTTGGTTAATTCAACTAATTCTATATGTTTCCTCATAGTATTGAAATGTAAACTTTTTTAAAGCGGGAGTAAAAATAATATTTCCCCTAAATGGATAAATATATATTTCCCTAATTAGGAGTAAAATAATGCCATAATGAAGCCATAATTTTCATGTTGTGACATTAAAAGGAGGGTATTGAGATCTAAGTTATGGAAGTATGATTTCAGGGTCACTATCAATGCCCATATTTCGGGGAACACCATACTCCTATTTATGAAAAATACCTGTTCTTTACTCATATCTACGCAATTTGTTTTTTTTAGATTCTAAGTATTTGTATTCTTCTGGTTCCATGTTATGTATGCACCAATAGCGTCCGAGAAGGATTTACATATGGATAATGGTGGGCAGCTCAGAGCAACCAAAAAATTCAATTTTTAGTGCATTTGTTTTCTTTTTTCATATTTAGTCACTCTTTAAGTCTAGTATAATTGATTTTCAACTCAAGGTGTCCTAGATTTCCGGATGCGCCCCTTTTAAGCGGTAAGAAATGTGCTTTATTCCATCGCATAAATATGCTTTTATTGTTTAATAAAATCATCATATATGTTTTGCCTAAAAGCTTGGTCTTATATATAGGGGTGTAACCAACCGGTTCGGCCCGGCCCGCCACTGTGCGGGCTCGGACCGGCTCAGTTGGTGCTAACCGGGCCCGGGCTTTTACCTGGTTGGGGAGGATTGGGTGGGCCGTGCTCGGGCCATGTATTTGTTGAACCGGCCCGGGCGGTTCGGGCCGGGGCCGGGCTTTTTTTTTTGGGTTTTTTCAATTTTTTTTGTTTTTCTTGATTAGGGCTGGGTGTTTTGAGGGGGTTTGGGGGTTGGGGGTTAATTAGAAATCAAAAAAAATTACTTTGACCAGGCACTGGCCCGGCCCGGTTAGGCCCGGACTCGGTATCAACCCGGGCCGGTTTCGGGCCCAACAATTTGAAAAAAAAGCCCGTCCGGGCCCGACCCGGGTCCATCCCTACTTATATATCATTGAAAGATTGAAATTGGGCTCCTTTGCACTATGAGTAAAGGCTTTGGTTGTTCCTGGGCTTAAGAGTTCCCACTTGATGGCTTTGGTTATATACTTTCCAACATCAACACCATATTCAACGACATTGTTTTGGTGCTTTACCCCGGCCTATCCCTATTCCCAAATCTCTAGTCGGCTTAGCTTAATATATTGCCTTTGGCTATGCCCTGATTGTGGTATATATAGGAGTGTTATTAATAAATCAAATGTATTATTGAAGGGAAATTACCCTAAATAGGAGTAAATGAGGTTTAGAATTCCAAAATAGGACTACTATATTTTTCTTCCCAAAATAGGAGTTTTTACTGCCATGTATGAAAAATCCTGCCATAATTAAAAAATATTGTCATTAATTATAATAAATACGGTCATGTTAAATGCACTGTACTGCAACTATTTAACAGTCACGCCTACAAGATGACAGTAACTACTGTCATGTTAGTCCTATTTCGGGAATAAAAACATAGTAGTCCTATTTTAGTTTGGAATTTCAAACTTCATTTACTCCATTTGCTCAAGCAATATATGTATAAGGACTATCATTTGGTAAACGTGTGCATTACATTGCATGATTAAAGAAAAACTGTTACAAATGAGATAGTTATTTATGATGATCTAGATATACCTCGACATGAGGGAGTAATATTTTGGGCCTAATTTAATAATTATCCATAAGTCTATTTAGAAAAGGCCCATTATGTAGGAAAGCGTGGAAGAAGAAAAATCATACTACTAGAGCTGGTCTAGAAAAAAGGATTCTAAAACTTTATTATCTTTTTACACTAAAAAACGATTATCTTTTCTAATGTAGAGATGAATTCAATTATAAATACTCCAATTCAATTATTACCCTTTTGTATTAAACACATTGAAAAGTTTGAATAAAGATTTTCCCCTTTATTTATTTATTTATTTATTTATCTCTTTCATACTATTTCCAATGCAACTTCCAAAATTTCAAGTATTACTTTAATTATTTACCAATAGACCACATTTAGAAATAATATTATACATGTATATCAGACCTTTTTCATGTCAGATTTAAACAAACCAAATCATATCATACTTAAATAGATCGACCATGATACAAAGAGTGAGGAAAGATGTACATTTTCTACATGGAACCGATTTTAACACTGAAAACGGCTGAACTAGCTGATTCTCCTAAACTTTATGAAATTCTGGCTAACGTGGTTGTCTTGGCTGATTCTACGGGTTGATGAAAAAAATACAGTATATTTAAAATATATTTTATTAATAAGATAAAGAAAAAATTATAAGAAAAAATTGTTAAAATGGTTATCTACGATAAATTCAACCAATATATGCAAAAATTAACTTCAATTAACCTTACTTTTTCTTATTATTACACAATTTAACGCACAAAATCAAAAGTTACGTGTTTGATTAAAATGATGTTTGATAAGCGTGATAAGGCGAAAAACAAAATACTAAACGGGCTCATGGATTCTTTTTTTGCTTACATTCATAAATCATAATTGACATAGATTTAATGAAAGTTGATAAATGATTTCACTTTTCAACACTCAATAAATGCAGCGCAACTAGGAATGTAGGTAAAATGTATAGAATATATAAGACCCAATTTGGTACTATTGAAATTATATTAGGTTTATCGTTTGAAAGTGTTGAAATTTGTGAAATTCTTAAGAAAGTGGTTGAACCGCTTGAATTGCGACTAAAATCAAAGCATATTTGATCAAAAAATAAAAGGAAAATATACATGAAAAATAACAAAAGATTTTTTTTTTCAAAAAATTAAGTCAATTTAATCACAAAGGTAATTTCAATGATACTTATTTTTTGTTAATAAAAAATATCAAGGCCACAATCGGATCTAGTTGTCTAAATAAACACTTGTTGCCAACATGGACAATTCAATTGATCACATGGGTAAAATTTGGAACAAGTAACACAAGATCGAATTCCTTAAGCGGCAATGAGAAAAGTAATCTCTTAATGTTATGAGGACTCACACAAGGAGTCCAACGAGTACTTATATAACCTCTGTGTTCAGCTGAGTCATCGTGACTTACCATCTATTATGCTTTGTCGGATCGGGGCATGAGGGCCCTTCGGGGCCGGGGATTAACCCTTGGAACAAGTCCAATTAGATACTCAACTTTTGGGCCTTAAAGTTTGCTTCGAAAACATCCTGAGTGGCCACAATAATAATCACCCCCATCAAGCTGAACAAAGTCCGGGCGGTGAGAGTAATTATGGAATGAGATGGCGAATGATTAAAGGGGAGGAACAAATATATGGCGTATGATTGTGCTGTGTGTGTAAGGATATTTCTCCCCCGCCTCTCACTCACTCCCTCATGTGGCAGTAGTAGTGTGTGATATGATGATGATGTGAATGCGCAGTGGGATGCAACTGGGCTTCATTTTGTCTGAAGCGTGCCATCGTCATGGCCTACCACCATTGCTCTTCACATCTTTTCATCATACTCCCATCCTATTGCGTATTATGTGTTCTTCATCTCATTTCTTCCCCTTTATTGCGGAGGCATACCCTATGAATTATTGCTCAGATCTTTTTTATTCATTTTGCTCTACTTTGTCTCTGAATCATTGCTTATTACTATATCATCTGCCACAGCCAGTTCGAGCTGGTAGCCTTGCAAGTGTCATGTGTTGGTTTTTATTTTTACTTTCTTACTTTTTGGGTATATTATGTTGTCTTCGTAACCATTTTGAGTAGTATTTACATATCACATGTATGTTGTTTGGTTTCCTGTTTGCCAAATAAATGGTGTGTTATCATACTACCTCCCTCCCATATTAGTTTTACCTGTTTTCATTTGGTGGAAGGATTATTAATAAATAAAGTGGTTGAAAAGTTAAAGTTGTTGTTGAGAATTGAGTATGATAAATTGAAACAATAAAGATCACATATTTTTGCCAAGAAATGAAACAATTTTAAGACAACGCAAAAAGAAAAGTAGGACAACTAAACTGGGACAATGAGAGCATTAGATTCTTTGTCTATCTCATTGGATAGGGCCTGATGGAGTATATTCCGATATACCCCGGAGGAAATCAGCATCCACGTAATACAAGAAAGTCTTCGGGACAACTAAATTCACAATCCGTCGAGGCCGACCTCGATCTACCCGAGGTCGGTCTGAACAGTCAATTCCCAAATCACCAAGATAAGGCCAAACTCGAGGCCGACCTCGAGCACACCGAGGTCGGTACCATATCTGACCTAGGTCGACACTGACGCAAGATCAACTGAAGTCAACGGAGTGAAGGAATATCTCACCACTACCGGACAAATAAAAGACCATGGTCAAACCTGCCAGAATAAGCTTACCATACCCGAGCTCTGACCCCGCATACGGAGCTAAGGGTGTCACTAGACAAACTGTGGACTTAGACATTTCAGGAATCAAGTGTCACACAAAACCAGGACCACATCATCAGCACTACGTAAGGGCCACGTCACCATGGCGGTTGCAACAAGGAATATCCCTGATTGCACAAGTGGAGCGTGCACGTACGTTCTGGTACACAAGGGATAATTCTGTTACACACAGTACCAATCGGCCAGCTGTCTAGAGTATCTCTCCAATCAACTTTACACCTGTCACCATACTATTTACTATTAGATTAGTAGAGTAGTGTTCCGGTCAGGAATTCCTAACCGGACGGCAGCGTTTAGCCACCTTCTTGGTGGAATTTTTTGATGAAATGTTTATGGAATGTTCTTCATCAAATCTAGTTTATCCACAAAAAAAATCAGCAAAAAATCAATCGGGAAGGCCGTCAAATAATTTTTAGACGTTAATTACGCCGGAAAATACATATAATTTTTAGAGATTTTAGTTGAATAATTTTGTGGATAAACTAGACTTGATGAATAACATGCGATAAAAATTTCATCAAAAACGTCAACCAGGAACCGCCCCAAACTGTGGCGTCCGGACGGGGTTCTGGTCCGGAATTCCGGACCTGAACATTTGTGTAGATTAGTATATCTATTCTTGGTAGACATGTGTGACACGTGTCTTCACCACAATAGAATAACATCTTTTTACTTGTTGGCCAATAAATATCACCTTCCAACTTGTAGAAAGGGATCCGAATTTTGTTGTAAGATGGATGATTGTAGAAAGGTACATAAAGGACAATTATGTCGACCTCATTTTGTTTATGTTAGAAGGGTCGCCCTATTGACCCTTCCAACACACACTATTGAATAGGGATGGAAATGGGGAGGGGTTGGGGCTGGGGTTCACTCCCCCATCCCCCGCCCCGTGTCTAAAAAATCGCACACACCCCCACCTCATCCCCCACTACTATTCGACCCGCCCCGACCCAATAGACCCATGGGTACCCAATAGGGGAAATATCCGTCAAAAATTAACACTATTTAGATCGAGACAGTTTTTCAAAAATCGAACAACACTTCTAGTATTTAGCCAATAAACCTTCTAGTTTTTAAGTGTCAATGTAATCTTACATCCCATTTCAAATCTAGAACACATTATACACGTTTTGATATGGTCATTTTATCAAACACTTTATTAGCATTGATTAGCTCTATAATATTTTCTTAAGCCCTTCATTCAATCAACCATGATCATTTGACACCATCTAGGACGACCTATGGTCACCAGATTTTTAAGAACCCTAACTATAATCATAAAGATGACATTCATAAGAAAAGAATTAGGAAAAATTGATTGTAATAATCCCAACTATTAGCGGTCCGCTCATAATAATCCCAACTATCGATTATTTCAGAATAATCCCAACTTTAGGGACCTTCTGCCAATAATGGTCCGACGTGACTGGCTATAAATAAATTCCTATAGTTTCTAAAGAGATATAGCAGGTAATCCCTATAAATAATCCCAAATTTTAGTTTTTACGCTTAATTTCTATTAAAAATTCACTTGTTAGAGCGGGTAATATGCGGTCATGGATCATTATTGGCGGACGGTCCATATAGTTGGGATTATACAAAAATAATCAATAGTTGGGATTATGTTTAGCGGACGAGCAATAGTTGGGGTTATTATTTTCAATTTTTCCAAAGAATTAATGCACTATGATAGTAAATGAAGAAAACATTCACATTGTGTCTGAGCCGTTTAAGCTAATATCACTTTATAACTTTCCCAAATTCACTTTACTTTATATGATTTTGATAACCAGTTTTACAAGAAAGCTGAGTTATTAAACAAGAATTAGATAGACCCATTAGACACAGCTCATTAGATAAGAAACAACTAAACCACAGGGCCACCATGCTATTTTAATTACTTCATATTAGGTATTACATATTTATTACTAAAATGAAGATTGTTTACAAAATGTGACTAATGACTAGAGTAGTGATGAAATTATTGTAACTTATGTTCAATTTTTAAACTTAGGTTATTATGACACTACATTGTAGTAACTAATACTCCGTAGTTATATTTGTGTAAAATAAATTTTATTTTAGTAATATTTTTGTAAAAAAACCCTTATTATTATTAGTATTATTATTGTGATTGTTATTATTAATTATTAATATGTGTACATAAAGACGGGGGACGGGGCGGGGACGATGCGGAGGGTACATAACCCATCACCCACCCCATATTTAAGATTTTAAGCGGGAAGGAAATAATTCCCTCATCTCCACCACCCGTCCCAACTCTCCCCCGCGGGGCAGTTCCCCACGGGCCCCACCCCCATTGCCATCCTTACTATTGAACAAGTATTACATGGTAAAATTGAAGCTAATGATAGACTCATATCTATACATTATAATACATATATAGACAAATGTTCATGTCCGGAATTCCGGACCAGAATCACCGTCCGGCCGACGACATTTGGAGCCTTTCTCGTTGGTTTTTTTTAATGAAATTTTTATGGCATGTTCTTCATCAAGTCTAGTTTATCCAAAAAAATCAGCTAAAACTCAATCCGGAAGGTCGTCAAATGATTTTTGGAAGTTAACTGCGTCTTATATGTATTTTTTAGCGCAGTTAACTTCAAAAATCATTTGACGATCTTCAAGATTGAATTTTTAGCTGATTTTTTTGTTGATAAACTAGACTTGATACGAAGTATATATATAGACGTGAAAATTTCAATGGCCAAAGTACTTTCCGTGCCAAACATATTCTAGATATGTAGAGGTTAATTGAAATCGGAAACACTTATTTTGCGGAATTTTATGCATGTTGAAGAATATAAGCTCATTAGAAGTCCAGTAACTATTCTCTTTGGATTCATGCCCAATGACTGCTCTAACTAAATTCAAATACTCCCTCAGTGGCATGGAACTTTGCATTTATCTTTTTTGGTTACTCATAAATTTAATTACCTTTCATTATAGTAACTAATGGGGAATTACCGTAAATACGACTACAAACGTTTATATATTCCCAAATAGGACAGATTATATTTTTAATTGCCTAAATATGAATATTTGTTGTCATCTTTTAGCAAAATAGAACTTTAAACATGACATTATTTTTTCAACTTTGACATTAATTACTCTATTAAAGAAATAAAAACATAATAGTCCGGGTTTATAAGGATGTTTTTACTTGAAATGTAATTTGCTGGTCTGGTCTGATCTGATCTGAACTTTTCTGGTCTGATTTCTTTCTATTTTTATAACTATCCAAGTCTGATCTGGTCTGAACTGGTCTGAACTGGTCTGGTTTGGTATAATCTGGTCTGGTCTGGGAGGAATTACAGTTCAAGTAAAAACATCCTAATTGTCAAACACATTTACTCCGAAAACTTACCTAGTTACTAATTTATTGTTCCGCTAATTTCCCTCTTCTGTATAAATATATCATCTAGACAATTTTATTTTTCTTACCTTATTTAATTCAAAGTTGATAGTAGGATATCTTTTCAAATTAAAGATTTCAATTATCAGGGGATATATAACTATTGACATATGCTATCCGAACGGCCAACACTCTGTACAAAAGGGAAACAATAGTAGGAAAAAATCATAGACCTATTAAAGGTTAGTGACTATTGTCAACGCTTCAAATCACTGTGTCTCATCACATAAACTCATTATCATCCGAGAAAATTACCAATTTACGGGAGTTTTGGGACTGACAAGCCAAAATACGGGACTTCGGTTTAGGTTACCATTTTACGGGAGTCGGATTCTCCAATTCCGACAGGAGGAAAAGCTTTAAAAAGTAAAAATAAAACCTAGTCGGAATTGTGTAATCCGACTAGGGGTGTTCGAATTTTTTTAACATTTCCATTATTTGTTTAATCCGAAGGAATTAAAAAAAACAAAAAAAAAAACAATTTAAAAAAAAATAAAAAAACCTAGTCGGAATTGTGTAATCCGACTAGGGGGTGTTCAAAATTTTTTTATTGTTTGCTTTGATTTGTGTTCACTCATTTTACCAAATTAAACGGAATATTGTCCCATTCAAACTCTTGATTGTATATTTAAAAAAATTAATATATTTTGGTTGAAATAAAATGAAAAAAATACAAAGTTTTCCATTATTGTAATCCTAAGCAATCAAAAAATAAAAAATATAAAAATAAAAAAACAAAAGCAAAACTGTCGGAAAGCCCACATCCGACTAGCAGTCTATTTTATTTTCGAAAAAGCAATCTATTTTGTTTTATTTTAAGAAATTTAATAAATTAAATTTTATAAATTAAATTTTATTTTAAGAAATTTATATTCGAGATA